TTGATGGTGTATACATCAGTCGACTAGTACATTACTTACATATCAAATAGTATGTGCAATCAAAACTAATTTCTGTTTATTATTTATTGTATTATTTATTTTTTTAAAGTGATAAAAATGTTTTTTGAAAATAGGGGAAGTATACATATCTATTTGTTTATTTAGGCATTCTTTGTGATATGTGTCTTTAATTATTTTATTCTTCGTATGCATTTTTTTATTACTTTCTATGTTTGGGTGTATAATTAAATATATATATATATATATATATATATATATATATTCTTTTATCACTCCCGAATAGTATATATGTTGTAGGCATATAGTCAAATCATACTGACTATAGGGTATACAATGTACTCGTACTATCATCTACGTCTATCACATCTAATTAGTTATTACCTAATTAGTTACTACCTGTATACATTTATGATTTCATTTTTAAAACAATAGTAATAATGAACATGAAATTAAACATATTATTTCATACACCGACGTGTTTTACATATTAATAAATAATACATTGTTTCTTTATGTATAAAATAGCAATAAATAACTGATAGAAAATATATTTAAATTTTTAAAATAATACAAAATGTTTTTTTATTATTTGATTGACATGAAATAGGTATTTAATCATATTCCTAGTCATTTAACTTTATTTGATTTGACATACATATTATATATCTATAGATAATATAATATTGCTCATTAATATTTATTGTTAGTTATCTTTTAATTCTATTACCTCTCGGTTAGACGTCAATGAGTTTGTGAAGAAATCATGGACTTCAGTGATTGATGAGAGGGCGGATGTGAAGATCAATATTGTATGAACTTTGACGTCATCCCTATATCCCGGGGCGTAGGGAGCTTTCGAGTGTCCTCTGTGTGTACGCTCTTGCTATAAATACTTCCTGTTGCCATGGTTACCTGTTACCAATGGCGTTTATTGATTTTAAGAATATACAGAGCTGGTGTTTTTCAATTTTTTTATGTTTGAGCTATACAACGTTTAATTATTATAACTATAATTACTTTACTCAATTCATAAATTTCATTCTTCAGCTGTGTACTTCAAAAGTAATTAGCCACTTTTCTCTGTAGATTTTTATAATTTTAAATAAGGCTCTGCAGCGTCTTACTGGGTTTTGTTTCAAATATTATGATAATCCTATCTGAATACGAATCACGATACGTCTTATTATAACATATCATAATATTATATTATTATATTATCTATTATAATTAATATTAATGATTTGAGTCGTTACTTAAATAGTTTTTATTTTTAAAATATAATGTGAAGAGGTATTTTGTTTCACTGAACATTAGATTATTATTTACTGTGTAATAATATTATAAAATCCTAACTATTTAAATTTTTATTACTTCTGATTTAAAAAAAATCAAATACAGGTGTCCAGGCATTTATTTAATTAAAGTTCAAAAATTAATTTTTCTCGACAAGTTACTAATAAATAAATATTTATCTATTTCAGACTTAAATAATAGATAATGATTTCTGTTACTACTAATTTTTCCTTCCGTAGAAAGATCGTTAATTCGAATATGGTACCTATAGCAAAACTATCTTATTCAGATGTGATAATTATAATTAATTCAACTATCGAAGGAAAATGCATATTTTTTGACAGTAGGTACGTGTATAATGTATGATCGGATTTAACTTCGAGTTCTATTATAAATCACACATCATATATTTTGTCGTGCGCATTATTTTTGGTTGTCAATCCGGTTTATATAACGTATTGGATACATAGAAAAATACAAATTTAGGATAAACTTAGGTATCTAAATGTACGAATACGACGTGTTCGTTAAATGTGTCTTTAATGTCTATGTAGTTAAATCGAACTCGACAATTTTATCGTTAAAACGCATGCGTGCGATGAATACAACGCATAATTCTCAGAACAAAGAATCAGGTCCAGCATTTAAATACATTATTTTGTCGAGTCGTTATCTGTATACATCCAGTGAAATATTATAATATTCATAAGATGGAAATAAAGGGGGGAACAAAACGTGTTATTTCAGAGGCAAATACATACATTCGTATATGTTATAGCAGTGGTCACCAATTATTATTTCTGTAGGCCTACATTAGGAATCTGAACATTTTTTTGCGGACCATTAAAATTCTAAGTACATATTTTCAACGTATAATAGAATAAGAGGTATTATTTTAAAATTGGATGTAACGAGAACATTATTTATTTCATTTATTAATTGCTATTGTTTTTAAACATTAAGAACATAATTAATATTGCAAGTATTACAAACACAGAATGTTGTCGTATATGTGTTTTTATTTTTTGTCTGCGGGCCGGATAACATTTTTTCACGGACCGCCATTTGGTGACCCCTTGTGTTATACGATTGGGACGTCGGCGCGTTCGGCTGGGCGTTGGCGTTTACGTCTGATTACATTTCGTTGGAAATAATATGGTAAATAAATACGCACGCGCAGCAAATACGGTTCTCTGTAAATATCGTAACGACTGCCGCGTCGGCGATCAATGTTTTCTCCAACAACCTTATCAGCGCATGCGCATCAGCTGTCTGTAATGCACTGCACGTCAAGTGTGTAACTAAAATAAAATGTTACTTGCCACTATCCGGGGCGTTGTCGACTATTACGAAGTTGTACAATTAATATTAAACGTTTTTACCGCTCTGCTTTCTCCGTCCAAGTTGAGTGGATCCAAACCATTATTTGACGTAAAATATTATGTATTATTCAGATCAGCGGTTCCCAAACATTTACAATCACGGAACCCTTTAAAAATAGTTTGTGTTTCGCGGAACCTTAATGTCTTTAATTCCAATTCAACTATAATTTTTCTAAAAAAAAAAAAAAAACCAATACTCTATGAAATGTTTTTAATGTTACTAATAATATTGTTAATGATTACTCTTTATTAAAATTAGTTTAAAACACAATATTTATTAAAATAACAAACATTTATTATTTAATTATTACAAATAATTTGTGGCGATATTATTCTAGTAGCTATTATTTTTTTTAAATAATATGAAATAATATTTTTTCCAAATATAATATAAAATACGTTTCTCAATAATCACATACATCTGGCGGAAATCTTAGCATTATCCCACGGAACACACTTTAGGAAACGCTGATTTAGATTGTAGTATGATCATTTTGGTTGACCACTTTGTTACGATGTAATTCATATCGGTGTCTGTGTGCTTTTTACCTATTCAGTCCCTTCAGTCGATTTATAACTCTTACCTCACAAAAGTAACTCGCTACTAAATGCAACTGCAACCGCGTATAATAATATTAACAAACATGTTCTAATTACCTCAGCAGTTATTGAGTAAGAGTGCTAAAACTCCATTAAGTAAAGTTACTCTCGTCTGCTCAACGACTATTGTGGTTGACTGAAAAACTACTTGACCAAAAACAGTTACTTCATTGAGAACACGAATGCAACGCAACTTAAATTTGGTTGCAACCTAACTAGTTGCATGATCTCGTTGCAGTTACAAGTTGATTTGATGAAAACAGGCCCTTATTATTTATAATTAATATAATGATACAATAATTAATAAATTAAATATATAATTATTTAGCTATCTCGACTCTCGATTGTATTATTTTAATACATTTACATATACTGCTATATTTACCAGATATATGTAAGTGAAACAATTAATAGTACTGGACCGAGTTTTGACTATGTACAACAAATCTATCCATTGTCAATATTACAATAAAGAGATTTACCAAGTAACGCATAAATATTAATTATGTTTTATGAATAATCGATTTCCTCGATTTCTTCAGATGTTCAAGATGATGTATTTAGTTAATTGCAATCTGGTAAATTATTATGACACGATAATCATTTTAATGTTTTGACTGCATAACCAAACGATCAACTTGGGTCTTTGAGTTGAAAATTGATGCCAAAATAGATTTTGACTGTAGTCTAAGGCATAAAAAAATATATATATATATATATATATACAAAGTTCTTATAGATACTCATGCGGCTGAACTTGCGAATTAAGATATCTTAATTCAAGATTGAATTATACAGATTATTGCGCTAGTGATCGGATTGTTAAAAATAAAGTTATTACACTTTATTATAAACAGAATTATTCGTATACAAGTAATTTCGATAAACCTTCGTTTATGAGCAAATAACGGAACAAATATTAATTGGGTAAATAATATATAGTTACACAAGCTCTTTTCGAACACCTAGATAGTATTATGTAATGTAGACATTGAAAACTACGACGCTTGTTATATAACATCGCTGTACATTTTTTTTATAATGATATTCAAAATTTTATTGAAGTTGAAGTATTCTATTTTTTTGTTATCGCTGCTGTTGCGTTCGAGCCTGTTTGATGCGTTATTAATATACGTTTAAACAGTTGAGCTCCAGTCGCATGCTGTTATAACGATTTATTGAACACGTCGACGAGATAACCTTTATTCGTGCGTTGTACACGTGATTTCCACGAATTCCCGGGCGACGAACGGTCCGCGGTGCAGGTTAGGTTAGAGTCGTTCTTTACGTTATGGACGGGGAATATATTCGTTGTTTCCTGGTGATCGTGCCCGGGCACTGAGGAAGGGGAGAGGAACGAAAAAGAAAATCGAGTTATACACCATGGTGAGAATAATGGCTGCGGCGTTGTCGGGTCTTGGCGTCGCGGTGTTGCGACGAGAGGCGTATCGCGGCGCCGGTGGCGGCGGCGGCGGCGGCGGTGGCGACCCGATGTTTTCGTAGAAAAAAAAACGGCTTACCTCCGCCCGGGCCGTAGCGTCTACGTTTCCCCCCTCTTCCCTCCCACGGTTTTAACGCGCCCCGCCCATCGATAGCTCCCTGCCAAGCGGTCCCATTGGCTGCCGCCGCCGCCGTCACGAATCGAACGACCCGAGCACCAGGCTTACCCGTCCGTCGCCGCTCATTATTTCCTTCGCCATCAGTCGTACCATTCGTCCGCCGTGCGCGTACTCCCGTCGACGATTTACAGCAGTGCCGCGCCCGTCACGGGTTTTCGCACGCGCACGATCGCCGCCGTTCGTTCCGCTCGCGTCGTCCGTTTGCACCAGCCGCCCAGTCGTATCCTGATCGCCGTTCGTCCGTCTCTTTTTCTTTGCCCACGTCTCGTGCTCCTGCAGCCATCCGTCGTACTGCCATAAACAGCTGTCGTTCTAGCGGTCTGCGTGAACAATCTGCCCGAAAATGAGTAAGAACATAATATTTTAATATCCTTACCGACTTACACTTAGCACGTTTACCGACGGAACGGAACGAAAAAAATAAAAAACCAATTTCGTACCGCTCACAGCAATTATATCTCATTTAAAAGCTTAATATAATGGTTTGTTGTACGAAATAAAACGTTATATAGTTTCTTTGTTCTATATGTACCACGGATTAAAAAAATTAATATTATAAAAATAGAATTTATACATTTTTTATCGTCCTGAAGAGTTGGAAAAAGTGAGATACAATCGTTGTGAGATCCAATTTATATTATGAAGGTTCACTCTTATAACCTTATCTAGCAATATGAAACATTATTTTATCTATTAATATACACATATGTTATATATGTTACATACACGGCGTGTAAATGTGTGTGTGTGTGTGTGTGAGTGAAGAGGAGAGAGTATGTGTATTGACTAGTAGAGTGTGAGAGAATACTTATGTGTATGTGCTTGCGTGCGTGTGGTACGTGTGTTCGTGAGTGTAGGGATGGTAAACAATTTTTGACCATTGATGTACCGAAATTTCGTTATATCACATATCCAATATCGATATATTATATCGACTGATATTTTATCGATATAAATGGGACATTTCGTACAATAGGGTACAAGGTATAAAGGTTTACGAAAAAATGCATAGTGATAATGATCAATATTCTTATACGGATTTATCGCCTAACAGTTCTGTGGATACCTGTAATAGCTATGACTGCATACAATATACTATATACCTATATCGACTTTCGATCTAACCAATGAGGAATGTGGATTGTGTGGTGCTAATGTGCAATGTGTAAACACAAAACATATAGGGATGGGTAATTCATGAATGAATCGATTCAGCTAGATGACTGATTGAATCGATTCAGTGTTGTAAAATGAATCGATTCATCGGTAACACTTTTTTTTTTTTTTTCAATCTTTAGATTGGTTAAATGACTTTGATGGCTCTCCGCTTATCACTGTAACACTGTTATATTCAAAATTGAATTAGGTAATATCATTGTTCTGTGGTAATATCACGATTCACTAAATTAAATGTAATAGACTCGTCACGATAATATGGTTGGCGGATGTGTGGGTTATCAAATAAATGGGATCAGTAACCAGGTTATATATCTATGGTTACATAATTCTCATGTTATCATAATTCATGTCTTAATACAGTTCTATCTGAATTCTCGTAGTGGAAAAATTCACTGAATCGAGATGAATCACTGAATCGATCAATGAGTCGATTCATTTAAGTGAATTGAATCAAGAGAATCAATTCACTCAACCGATTCATATTTCCCATCCCTATAAACATAGTTGTTACGTCAAGGGCACATAGTGCAACTGTTTTGGGACAAAAGTTGCATATCAAATTGTGCTCAACAATCAGTTTGTAACCAATACGAAACTTCAGTCCACATACGGACATGACTGATTTTGGATCAGTTGGTGTTAATCTATTCGATCAGTACATTTGTTTTTTTTTGATTTTATACTGTGTCGGCTTCAGATGAAGATAAAAATGAAATCATTGATTATTATCAATACCGCAGGATACGCAGAGAACATCGGAAACATTTGGTCCATCCATACATAAGAGAAAATGCAAACTCTGGGCTTTTTATAGTAGTGAAACTCCAATTCCAACATCTGCAACCAACTTTAAGTTTAATCCTTGGTCACTCATGTTCACTGAAAATACTAAAACAATACACATCCACGAATACAAACTTAAAATTGCAACGCAACTACGACCGCGCAAACCGAATCAGTACAATCGATTTGAAACTGATTGCAAACTAACCTAATTTTGGTTACTTTGTTTGCGGACGCCATAGTTATACTCTGCCTAGGTCATAAAACAGTTGCACGTGCAATGATTTGCAACTTTTGTCCCAAAACAGTTGCACCGTGTGCGCTTGACCTTATTTTTAATCTATAATACCGCAGATAATTTATAAATGTATACAGATATAATATGTCTTGATTTATCGACGATTTATCTTTTTAAAACATTGAAAGACTCGATATATCTGTAAGGTTGTGTCGATAAAAAATTTCTCGAAATATTGACTTCATGTATGGATATTTTTTATATATCTATATGTCGTTACTATCCCTACGTGATTGCGTGATTGCGTGCATGTGTTGTATGTAACAAAGAGACAGACGGAGCCGGTAGATTTGTTTTTTATTATTTCAAATAATTGCTTATTGAAAAAATAATTAGAAAGAGTTTTGTACTCATCTGTACTATTTAAATGTATATTCTTTTTTATGATCATTAATATACACTTAATGTTATGGTATATATGTTTTGTCGATACCTATACAGTTTTGCTATAAATTTAAGCCAACTCCATGGTTTTTAAAAGTTGGCGCCATTTATAAGCAGGGGCGTATTTAGATAGGGGCCATGGGTCCCGTTGCCCAGAGCGGCACATTTTTAAAGATTTAGAGGGGCGGACAATTTTTATTTCGTACTTTACACAATTATACAACTTACGCAAATGATTTAGCAATATGTTTTCTAAATGAGTGTGTACAATTTTAAGGCTATATAAAAAATATTGAAGTTAAGCTTACAAAAATACAGATGTTACAGTTTATAAGAGAACATAATTTTAATAGTGTTTATCTTTATACTGGAGTAGCTTTACATATTTTTTTGTATACACCATCCACAAATTATAGTGTAGAGCGTTCTTTTTCCACACTAAAAAGAATAAAAAACTATTTTCGCTCTATAATGGCACAAGACCGGTGTTTGGCTTTAGCGGTATTAACAATTGAAGCTGAAAAAACCACTTTATTAGATTTTGAAGAAATAATTAATGATTTTGTTGGTTCTGAATCAAGGAAGAAAAATATTTAAATTTTGTATTAATATTGTATATCTAGCAATTAATAGAGGTTTTAAAAAATAATATTAATTAGTAACAACATTTTATTTTTTGACTGGAAGGGGGGGGGGCAAAATATGTGTTGCCCTTACCTTGAAATTCCTAAATACGCCACTGTTTATAAGTGTGTCTTATTACTTATTATTAATTTAATCCTGTGGTCAATTGTCTAATACAGAGTATGCTTTATCGATACATATTGTGCGTTTGTATAATTTTGATTTAGAGATTTGTGTGCTAAAAACATTGGGTATCGTATAAAATAGTGCTCATACCTGAAGTACGCTGTACTATCGATAATTTTGGCCATGATTACATAATATACTTAGGTATGTAAAAAAATTAAAATGTTGGTAGATTATATATAAGTAGGGTGCGGATTTTTATGTAATAAAAAAGTCAAAATATGTAAATATTTATGTTCTTATTTTTGCTAAAATATGTAAAAAAAACGTAAAATATTTAACAAAAAAAAATCGGTATTTTCCATTAATTTTTAATTATTAATTAATAATTATTCATTTAATCATCTTCATTGTTGTCTTCTTTGGAACAATTGGATAAGACGTAAATTAAAAGATTTTCAAATTTTAATGTACGGCGGTTAGATTTCAAAGTCAACTCGTAGCTGCTGAGGCTGCATTCAACGTCAACCAAGATTAATGGGCATATTTCATACCACATATATTGGATGGTGTTACTTCAATATAATTTGACATATTTTCATTTATATTAGTAAGATTATATCTAATAATTTAAATTTTTTTGTAAACCAACGTATTACCCAGTACGTAGTTTAATTAATTTTTATTATAACTCCGGATTCTCCTTGAACTTAATTTCATTGAATTTCTGCATTTTTCCACTATCGCGAGACTTTCAATTATTGTTAGATTCAATGTTTCTAATATTTTATTATTTTAACCAAAAAAATTTTTTTTTGGAAATATATGCTAAATTATTTTGCAAGTTGTTGATTTACATAATATCAGAAATAATAGCAATTGTAGTATCTGAATCAAGATTTGAAATATCTTCTTTCATTTAATTCCAATATAATAATTGTAAATTAAATAAAAACTGTATTGAAATGATATGAAAATGTGAAATATTTACAAAATATGTTAATATTAATGAAATATTTAAAAATATGTATTTGTATCAAAATATGTGAAAATATGTAAAATAAAATAGGTTTCATATTATTCAGGGTGTTATAAAACGTGCTTATTTTTAATTAAAATTGAGAAATTCACATTCAATAAATATATGTAATTACATAAAAATCCGCCCCCTATATATAAGGTATATGTAACATATATCTTACATATTATATAGATGTAAGTATTCAGTGCATAAGGTCTTTAATTTCCACGCCAATATATTTTATTTTTTTTTTTATTTATGTTTTTTAATGTAATTTTATAAATACTTAAGTTTATACATATATTAATTTAAATAATTTTGTGTTTCGTTATATTTGTTTTCTACCCGTTTATAAGCTATGTATTTTAATTTTATATTTATTAGACTAATATGTTGTCCATGTATAACATAACGTTACACGTAAAACATAAATACCATCACTGGGACTAATATACTACAAAGTGTATAACTTTTATATGCGAATAAATTGTAACGATAAAATTAATTAACCTCGATAAAATGTAAAAATGTATTCAATCAGGATATAGTTTGTTATATATTATTTTATTTTTTTAACACGTTTGTTCATTGTTTTTATATATTTTCGATTGTGCAAAATAAAATATACAAACACAACTTGACATATATAAAGATGTATATATACTTATGTATAAAGATCTATCACTTATAATTCCATAATGTTAATTTAATATAAAATAATAATTTAGGTATCAGTTATTCGTTCCTAGTTATTGAAATATAAACAATAGTACTTCAATTTTTCTTTTCATTCATTAATATATTCATTAAGTTCAAAAATAAGACAATGTACCCATATAATGCGTGAAAATAATTTGTAATGATAGTTGAGTAAAATATCAAATAGATAAAAGCATCCGAGAGATAATTTGCTGTTGATATTAAAGATCGTATTAAATTTAATTATTTTGATTTGGACTTCTGAGAAAAAATAAAAAAAGTATTTGTAATATATGTTTAATTTTGTCATCGTCATTAATATATTTTAATAAAATAAGTTCTAAATTTAATATAAAACAAGGTAAAGATAAGAACAAGTTAATAATTAACTTAATTAATTATTATTATATATTTCAAAATTTATATTTAATTAGATGCACCTAATTAAACTTACATATATACCTAATTGTTTGTAGTTACAATTTTTTTTTTGTTCTCGTAATTGAAAATTTAAGTTATTAATATTCAAAATAATTTGTGAAGACTTAATGGGTATTTTAACAAACAAGCTTCCGCTAATCATATTCTATGTTAAAATTATTGATCTGTGAGTAATATTACAATCTATATAACAAATAAGTACCTACAATTGAAAATACGAGTATGTACATTTATGAAAAATGAAATGTTATTGTATGCAATAAAAAATAATAAATGTAAAAAATTCTTGAAAATTATTCATTTAGATTTTCTTAAAGGAAATTAATTAATATTGCTATTGTAGTATTATTTTACACTTATATTATATAACTTATTATATTTTATCTATAAGATTTGAAATAAATCATTATAATTAATGTAACCAATATATGGACATATGCTCACAATTGGTGATTTTATTATAAATTTTTTTGTCTATATAAATTGAAACGCTTAACATGCATTAACATTGATATTTAAATGGTTGTTACACAATTAAAACTGCGCGATTAAAATAAGTATCTCAATTATTAATTACATAGTTCATATAAATTATTCGTCACTCTATAATTTAAAACTTAATTATAAAAAAAAAAAATAAATAATGCTGATCGGAATATATAAGATTATTCATCAATTAGACATATATACATTTCAATATTTGTCGACTAAATTATTTTATATGTGTTATTAATGCATAAATAAAATCAAGTCAATTACTACTATTGATATATTTTATAGGTGAAATGTTTCCCTCTAATGAGATGTCAGACGATGAAGATTCTATAATGTTATCTGATGATGAAACCATTAGCATCGGAGAAATAAGTGTAGACGATTATTATGACGAAAAGAAATGTGATGATAATTTTTTTAAAATTGAAAAGACTCCTAAACATAACGTGCCTTTGGAATCAAATAATGGTGCTAACATTGAACTTGTAGTAACCAATAATGAAACTTTAAGACCGTTGCAATCTGAAATAATACTTGCTAGCAAAAACTTATTAGAAGAAGTGCCGCCGCGCGTGGAGTCACCTGTGAGGGACATACCTAAGGGTAATTAATAATTTAAAATAATTTGAATAAAATTATTTGCTGTATATTTTTATTTTGTAGTTTAAACGTAAATGTATATAACTTTATTTACTATTTAGTTAAACGAACATCTGCTATCAAAGCAAGGGTTGCTATTATAAAATCAAATCCGAAAAGGAGAACCAAAATAGCTCTGGAACGAGAAAAAAGAAGAATTAGTATAATTGAGCGTGGTGGGGTAAGTACTTATATGATTGACAATTTCATATTTATAAAAGTAAATGATTCTAAGCCATATAAATGTTTCATAATTACTTATTTCATTTTGTGTACATGTTTCTTAATTTAAATTTATTTTTAGTATACTATTAATTTAAAAAACATCTAGGTCAGCTATGTGTAAACAAATTCTTTTTCATTTCAGGGGGTTTTACAATAATATTTTATTTTTTCTTTATACTTATTATTGACATTTTCTCTTTTAGAAAATGTAACAATTCTGAATTATAATTGTAACTGAACTAATTTAAGTAAAATTAAATTGTGAGTTCACTAACTTCTTGATTTAAATATTTGTATACAACGTAAACATTTGTATACGTAATGAAAATAAATATATTGGTGTAAAAGTAAAAGGATAAAAGTAAAAAAAAAAAAAAAAATTATTAATGAATAACATAAAGTAACTGCTAAAAGATTGAACTTTCTAAAACTAAAAGAACTTAGTTTTATTTTATCATCATAATTTTAGTTAATCACAATTAAAATTTTTTTCTAGGAACCAAATAAAAGAAGACCAAAAAGTTTAAGGGCACACGGTTTAATTACTTCAAATATCTTCAATGAAATTTATATTAGACATGAAGAAATGTTAAATATTTATAATTATGTAAGTTTTGAATACATATTTAAAAGTTGTTCGATTTACATTATTAAAAATTATAATTGTTAAATGTACAGCTTACTTGTGTACCTGCTAGAAGAACTGTGGATGAAATAGTGACTAGTTATACAATAAGGAAAAAAGCGTGAGTTATTATGTGACTTAAATAAAGGAACATTAATTTAGATTTGTTTTTATATACAGTAGAATCTGCTTAATTGGGACACCACATATAGGGAACAACCGCTTAATAGGGACAAATTGGCATAGTACCGAACAAATGTATGCGTCTAAGACAATTTAACTTCGTTTATCTGGGACAAATTATCGGTTATAAGGGACAAAAATAAAAGCGTCTAATTAGATATTCTGAGTTAAATATCTATTTTTTTATCAAAAGTGTAATTATCTAATATTTATAGCTCTATTATAAAGGTATTGTCAATTATGTCAATCATTTATTTTCAAGGGCGCCTACAGATGAAAATTCAGGGGGAACAGCATTAGTTTTTATTAATAATCAAACACTTTTATACTAATTAAACACTTTTATTAACTAATTGAACACAAATTGCAATTTTATTTTATTTTTCCTAAATTCATCAACAACTTTTTCAGCTAAATGAAGTTCTTCGTTTTTTTTTCTGTGTAAACTTAATATACATAATCTGGATAAACGATTCTCACACATTGTTGAACGTAACCAACTATAAATATTAATACACCTTAGTATCAATTATGATGTTTGGGATTTCGGGATATTAAATTTGGATATAATTATTTTAAATAGCTGGAAAGCTAGGGGGGTTGTCCCCCTTGCCCCTTCACGCGGGCGCTCTTGTTTATTTTTCATCTACTACCACAATGAAAATCGACTAGCTTACGTACAAAATTTAAAAACTTTAGTTCACGTTTTTTCGTCTCTGTGTATTAACGTATGTGTGTTTTTATTTATCCCAGTTTGTGTTAATACGTAACAATTACGTCTCGTGAAGAGTTAACGTTGATTGAAAACATTTTTATATTGAATAAAATGAAGGCTCAACCTCATAATATTAGTCTTCGTGAGTTAAAGAAATTAATAGGCACGTCTAAATTGGTACTAAGTCGATTTAAAAATAATGAAAAAGCTATTCGTTAATTCGATATAATAGTCAATACTTTATAATAATTATAATATAGGTACTGTTGCTAATTATAATAATAATATGTAATTTTTAAATAAAGTATGTATGTATGTATTTTTTAAATAAAGTTATTATGTATGTACATGCACTTCAATAGTTTCGGTTTATGGTTTATTCAGTTAATCGGGACAGTCGAACAATGGGGACAAATAGGTCACCGCCCAATGTGTCTCAATTTAGCGTATTTTACTGTATATATATATATATATATGATTGCATTTATTAGTGATGAAATTATTAACTAATTTATTTGATTTAGTTTAATATAATATCTAATTAAACTAATTATTATGTTAAGAATTAAATTTAAACAATTATTATTAATTGTATTAGAATATATAAATTTAATATAGTTGAATATTATAATTTATGGTTGTCTCATTTAAATTAGACATTTTTATTTCAGGATAAATTAATCACTTTAGGCAATGTTTTATGATATGTAAATTTATGTAAATAATTATACTTTGTACACATTTTTATTTTAGATGTTGGACAACTTTAGATTATTTTTTACACTCTTTCAACGGAGCTTTACAGCCTTGGTGCTTGCAGAAAATTGAAAAGATCCAATTTCAAAACGTAATTATAAATTATTAATATTAATATTAAATAATTATTTAAATACTGAACTCAATAATGTACCAAAAAAAAATATGTTGTTTTAGAGGTCATGAAGATTTAATCTATTATTTCAGTAACTAGGATAAAGTTCTAAAGTGGATGATAATTAGAATTCATAAATCATAGTGAAAGCATTAATTCTGATTTTTTACTCAAAAATTATTATCCCATAATCCCAGTCACTTGTAACAGAATGATACCAGTTCAAAAATATAATGTATATTTTTGGAATAATCTTAGTAAATATTGTGTATTAGTATGTGAATACTGAATTTAAGGTTACTTATCTGCACCAAAAGTTATAGATAATATCTCATTTAATCTTGAAAACAATACATTTTTTTTATCAAGCCAGTGTTGGTTTTCATTTTGATAAGAAGAGGAATTTTATATTTCTTGCTACCAAAATAAAAACATTTTCTAGCTAAATAATACCGAGTTTTTAAAATTGAAATATTTTATTTAGTTTTTTTTTATTATTGTTGTTTGAAGTAGTATAGTATAACTGTTTTCACAAATTTTGATTATAGCTGTTATTTTATATTTGTTCCTTAATGATTTTTGTATATATAAAGCAGTGCATTTTTTAACTAGTTAAATAGGTGACATAAATGTCGCCCAGTGATTATATTCTGTCGACAATATTTTGAAAGATTGGGCGAAATATTGCGAAACAAACGTGTAATACTATAATCGTACTATAGTATTACATAGACTATTTTGAGAAAAACATTTTTTGTCGCCCAATGAAAATTCCTTATAAGATACACTGATTTAAAGAGACTAAAAATCTCGATTGTTAAAACTAAAAAACTAAAAAAACTTTTAATTACATTATCAACCATTGTTTAAAGTTTCGCATGAAACTTTTGATAATGATTTACTGTTTGAAAAATAAAGCATCATTGTAAGATCTATATACATTTCTTTATTTTACTAGAGTCTAAATATATTATTATATAATGTCTTCGTTTCGATTTACGTTTTAACAATTCAACTCTTTTGTATTTTTTCCCAACACTGGAAAACAAGCTGTAGATATTAAATGCATTTTCTTTTCAAACAACCAAGAAACTGTAGATGGAAGATTAATGTTATACTTTTCTGTCCTCATAAATAATCTTAGAACAAATAATTTATTATCAAATTAAGATGAGCTGTAGTAGTTGTGTGTATATATCATTAAGAAGTTTAATTACTTTTGTATAATTAATTTTAAATTATTGATTTTTTCGCAGACTAAAAGAAGATATCCTAATACTCCACTGAGTAAGCTTTACGGTCTTCCTCATCTCGTACACTTTATAGGTGAGTAAGATTTTGGTTTATATAATGATCTATCCGAGAATATTTTGTTTTACAAACGATTCACGATAAATGTTTGTCAAGTGGTTTATATTCAACAGAGGGCCCAGGATTTTATATTATCTATTTTTTTACCCGATGTTTCATTCAAAATTTGCTCTAAAGTGGTCATGGGTCATCTCAGTTATTTTGATAAAGCTTCTCAGTAATTTGAGTCTCATTGAGTTCCTATACAATCATTAATAATTTTAAAATGTATTATTTTTATAATCTATAATAAAGTGTTATGGCTTAATATTAAGCCATAACCCTTTATTAGTATATTTGATTAAATAATTATATACAGTTTATATTATTGTAAATTATTATTATATGTAATTAATATAATTATATATTGTGAAAGCAATTAACTATCATTTTTTCAATTTTTATTCATTCAAAATTATTAATAAAAATGAAATGTTACTAAGATAATAACAATCGAACTAACTAATTAAAACTTATATTTTTCAAGGCATGTCGATGCATTAATTCTTCTAAATTTCAGTTTGAATATCGTATACATGTTTGTATGCATTTTATAAATAATTAATTAGTTTTTTTGTCTACTCTACCCTAGAATCCTCCTTTTAATTTTTAAAAATCCCTTTACTTTAATACCATAATTAATCGAGCTAAAAAATATATAAGCATCTCTTCCAAGGAAAACATTATTATTTAAATTACAATAATTATTTATTTCAGTGTCCCTTCCGCTACTATTCCTGAAGATGTCAGTTTATGGACTGGATTTTGAAAATCAAATGTGTGAATTCACTAGAGGACTTATGGCGTAAGTATTTAATTTATATTTAATATTAGTAATTTACATAAACTATGACGTGGTCCCGCGGTGGTGCAGGTATTAATTACTTATTAAGTACACCACTATCGCGGAGCCGCGCCCGCTGTCTATCCAGCCACAATCCAGGCAACGACAACACCGTTTTCGATACTACCCACAAACCTCTGAAAACCAGGCAGAGGTGGAAAAAGTTATCGGAACCGGTGGAAACGTACCGACTGATCGCCTCGGATCGACGATTTTTTGCTTGTGACCGTCAAGACATTTTCCACCACCGTCACCAAAGTAGACACACAACACCGTCCACCATATTTTCTTGTTTTATCATAGGAATAATAATACACTCTAAGGACACATACATTTGTTGGTTTTTTTTTTTTTTTTTTTTTGTATGACTAATCCGCAATTTAATTTTGACCGGCCACCTCACCGAGGACGAGTTCAAAACTCACCAGCGAGCTGCGTCCGTGTCATATTGCCTTTGTCCCTACACCGTGTATTGCCACCTTTGGGGTGGTTGAGTTGATAGGGGATTGTGATGTTAATGATGGGGGTGTTGTGGTGTAGGTTGAGGTCTGAATGTGGACGCCACCAAATTTGTTGGTATGCGCGTTGAACATGGTGTTCGCGGATGACCTGGTGGAAAAAATTGTGCGAAAATTGCCGGAATTTTTACCACCCGTAATACCGAATACGGTGTGGTTGAGTTGATCGGAGCCAATGGGTTGGACTAGTTCCCCCTGGCTTCCCCGCTGTTTCCCGACGTGGTCGGTATATGCGGACACTCGCAATGCCAGTGTCGTTCGCTGCAGTACTTACACGACCCCGGCGGACCTCTCCTCGACAAGTTCGCGCGTGGTTGTGACGGCTGTGCGTTCTTATTCAGAGTATTCACGCGGGGTTGTGAAACGGGTTGGCCAGTGTCACGGTCTTTCAACCCCCTTCGCCCAGGTTGATTGTCATCACGACGCGGGGAGGGGTGTTGTGTGCACACGATGGGATCCAGTATACTCACGATGCGTCGAAGCTCGGCGAAAGTAGATGGTTGTCTCAGTCGTATGTGCGTATGGAATGTGTCGCGCGTTAATCCGGTAATATAAAGAACTAAATCCGATTCGGATAAGCCAGTATTTACGCGGCATGCGAGTCTTTTTTAAAATATATTCCGTTAATGATTCAGTCGTGGACTGTCGTGTCGACGGTATATCAGCGCGCAACCGAAGTTGCATTTTGTCATTGTCGAAATTCGTTAAAAACTCGACTCTGAATTCTTCTCAGGATAGTTCCAAGACCTTGATGGATTTCCACCAAGTCGTGGCCGTACCCATTAGTTGTGATTCAATAGCTCGACACCAGCCGGACATGTGTATATTTTCCTGCGATAAGACGGATTCCGAATTATTAATAAAACGTACGGGGTCTTCAGCCTTTTTCTCGAAAAATTCGGACAATGAAGCTCTTGCGGCGTGCAAGTTCATATGGATCGGTCCTGTAATCGCGGTGTGAACGATAAAAGATTCCGCCAATTATTATTGAAAACCGTTTGGCTGCCGGTCAAGTGACGCGTGTATACGACGTAATCGCTGCGACGTCGACGCGGTCGTCACCCGGCCGTGCGGGTGTGTGGTTGTCGCTTCGGAAAACGGGCGGAATATTTCGTTGGTTTTGATACGCGTACATTAAATCATTTGTGCTTACCAGAGAGCGTATCGATTCGTTTTGCGCATGGTGTTGGGTGGTCACATCGAGTTCGTCTCTCTGTGAGTTTTGACACCTGATGACTCCGCGTGACGACAGATTAAATGGGTGGAGCGTTTGCCCCTTGGGGACGTAACATCTTTCGAACGAAATACACTGTGAGTTTTGACGTTGATCTTTAAGAAGTTGTGTCAAACTCGCTTCCAACGTCGCTATGCGTAATTCGAATACGGTCCATCGGTGTCCCGACCTATTGATTCGTGTAGCGGTAATAAAAGTCGAGCCGCTGCGGATGAAAAAATATTTTTCTGCGTTGAGGTGTCGAGTGGGTTTGATGTCGACTGTAAGCGATTATGCATAAAGCCGCCACCTAATAAACTGGCGTTCGTAGACGGCGCAATGACCAATCCCGTCGTCATATCGCCCTATACATGGTCGTCGTCAGTAACGGATGAGTACTCTCGTTGGGTCGGCGCCGGTTGAGCGCAACTGTTCGGCTAATCTTGTTTCGAGATCTGCCTTGGACCCGGATGACGGTATTTATCTAACTTTGCACTCATAACGCAACTTCTTCAACGTTAGTTGATCAATGTTTTTATTCGACATAATGTAAAAAATAATTATAAATATTTCTAATTACAACTATTCGATGTAATAAACAATCGATTGTAGTATGCGTAGAGGTAGAAGTAGTTAACACGTCACTAACAACGCGACGTGACGGCGGTGACGACGACAACGATGATCCGCGTTGCACGTGTAGAGCTACAAGATCGCGGTTCACGTGCGTCCATCTATTATCGGCGGGTTGATACCGAGTGGTAGAGTTACGATGGAGGGTGTTAGATCGTTAGAGAACTACAATACCTACCCTGACCGCTATCTAACTGCTATTTCGGGTCGCGCGTATTTCCCTACTCGTCAGAAACAAAAATATGTATTGCGCTTAACCAAATTATTTAACACACCTGGAATATCTATGTATTTTGTAAAATTATAACAAGTCTGAGGTAGTGAGAAAATAATCTTACCTTTTTTTTTTTTTTTGTTGACTCGGGGTGATTCTTTACCGGGAGCCAATTTGACACGGCCGCAGCTCGTTGGTGAGTTTTAAATTCGTCCTCCGTGGAGTGGCCGGTCAAAATTAAATTGCGGATTAGTCATACAAAAAAAAAAAAAAAACCAATAAATGTATGTATTATTATTCCTATGATGAAACAAGAAAATGTGGTGGACGGTGTTGTGTGTCTACTTTGGTGACGGTGGTAGAAAAGAAGGTCTTGACGGTCTGGCTTCCACGACGGTCACGAACAAAAATCGTCGATCCGAAGCGATCGGTCGGTACGTTGCCACCGGTTCCGATAACTTTTCCTGTATCTGCCCGGTTTTCCGAGGTGGGTAGTATCGGAAACGGTATTGTCGTTGCCCGGGCTGAGGTTGAGTAGACAGCGGGCGCAGCTCCGCGATAGTGGTGCACTTAATGTACCTGCACCACCGCGGGACCGCGTCAAGTATAAAGTAATTGAGTGAATCAATGACAACTATTTATAGTTAAACATTTAAATACAGTCTGTACCACCTATATCGACGCCGGTCGTAACGACATATGGGGTATAACGACGTTAATTACAAGTATCCGGCAAAATTCCGTTTATTTTAACATACAAAATAACTGGTAGTAACGACATGGACGTAACGACAATATCGGCTAATACGACTTAAAAATCGGTTCGCAACACACATTTTAATCGTATATAACGACTGTATATTATTTTTTTCGCAAATGATTATCTAAAATTATTGGTGTAATTACCAACAGATAGGGTATCTACTATCTTCACATAGTTATTGCGTAATGTATTACTATATTAGCTGCTTTTATACGTTTTTAAAATAGCATTTTAAGTTATTAACAAGATAGAAGTGTAATGCACATTATAGTACATATAATGAGAAATTACCACAAATCTACAAATATTGGTTTGATATTTTAGTTATGTCAGTGCCGTTGAACGTGTTTAAAAAAAAAACGATTATTTGTATACTTATAACATATTAGAAATAAGATATTCTTGTTTTTTTTCTGTACAAACAAAACGAAAAAAAGTATACTCTTATGATGTTATTAAATCTTTTTTTTTCCTTTAGAATAATTCTTAATAGTTTTCGTTTGGTCCCTATAGTTAGCTTTGATAAAAAAATTAAAATTTTAACTGAAACAATATTTTTTTGCAGTTTTATCGATGAGGAAAATATGCACAAGGATGTTATAAATTATCAAAATGTAATGCCTGAAGAGTATAGGATGACATATCCTGAACGTACTAGACGACTTCTTCCCCCTCGTCAATATTAAGAGTTAAATAATGTAATTTAATTTAAATTGTTCATTAAACAGAGTTTAATGTTTATTCATTAATATTATTACTTTAAAAATTACTTAAAATTTATTATTCATGGACTAAATATAGAAATACGTATTTTACCTTTATATCTATGGTAATTATAATTTATATATAAAGTTTTGACAAAAATAATAAAATATAAGACATTAAAAACAATAAAAAGAAAGAAAATTAAGAAGTTAATATTATAAGGTTAGTTATTATAAGTTAATATTATAAGTAATAAAATAAAAAATCTGAACAGTTTAATTTAAAAAAATAAAAACATTTGGGTTTAAAATTGAAAGACCAAATTTATAATTAAGTTAGCCATTTGGTATAAATAATTTTTTTAGATCTTTTATGCTATTTCAAAAATATACTACTTTTTTTCTAGTTGAAAATATATACGAGTTACATATTATTTTGGTAATTTTAAATTTTTGGTGTATGGGCTTATTATTGATTATTTTTCTATGTTTCGACAATTTTAGTTATAGTTAAATTTCTCTATTCTATATATACAAATTAAATTTGATTTAATTTTAAAAATGTGTCTAAGATACCTGACTATATCAATACAGATATTTAATTTAATTTGTCCCACTTTTTATTGTTTTTCCCTAACGGGAAAGAAAATAATATTTATTTTATTAACTACTAAGTTAAAAGGCAACCTAAGAAAATAATTGTAATTTCTCAAATACTAAATATGTACCTGTTTAAATACATTTATTGTTAATTTGAGAGAATCGACTAATTTATTTTAAAAGTTTATATTAAGTGTAATTTTTAAAAACTACTAAACATATTTTCATATTCAACTTATGGCCATTATTTAAGCATTTCGGTAGTGTGATTATTGTTGGGACTAATTTATGTCCTCTGCCTGTTAATCTTATTTTTTTATTATTATGATTCCTTTTATATCAAATATGTTTTTTTTAAGTACAGATTTTTATAAAAGTTATTTATAAATTTACAATTGCTATAACAGCTATTTCAATTAAAAAAGATTTCTTTAATAATGAGTTATGAAAATGATACTACTAATGTGTTGATTCTACTTACTAACAACATTCTCTAAAGACTATGATTTCCGTTGTATTTTAATAATTTATATTTATTTTATATCAACATTTTTTGTTGACATAAAACAATTTTTAAACTTATTAATAAGTAAATATATTATTATTAAATGAATTGTTTATATGTAATTCAGTGTAACTCAGTTATTATTCATATAATTTCTTATCTATTGATACATTCAGAAAATTTTGAAATGTATTTTCTTTATAAGTATGTGCTTTTAAGTTTAAAATAAAACTAAGTTATCTGTGTAAATTATTTATTTATTTTCAAAATTCAACAAATGTGACCTCTTATTTATATATTCTTACATATTAATACCTATGCATATATTCATAAATAATTTTACAAATTTTGAAAAATTAAAGGTTATATCATAAGCTACCTTTTGAATTTGTGATGTAAGACAGCAAGAGTACCCTCAACTTTTTGATGATAAGGATATATAAATAGAAAAAAAAAATCATAGAAAACACTCGTTTATATTTTTATAAAATTCAAATTTATCATACCAAAACTTACAATATTTCAATTTATTATACCTTAATGTCCAGTTTTCCCGGTTAACTAATATTATGGCATACTATGAAAGATAATAAAAGCTTATTTTGCAACAATTTGATGTCATATAATCTATTGTATTCATTATATTATCATTCACATTCTCTACTAGTTTTTGTTTTTTCTGATGCATATAATTTTATTATATCGTCTAACATTGAATATGCATGTTACATATGTATATATATATATATATTATATGTTGAACAAGCAAATATTACAAATGTTTTTTGGGAAATGAAATAACTATGATTATACGACTCATTCACTCTCTACAAGACCTACCATTATCTATACAAACAAAAACGCATTTTAGAAATCAACAAGAACTTTGTATGAATCTCAGGTATTTATGTATTAAAAAAATAAATATTTTACGTTTTATTTTTTAAAAATTGAAAAAAGAAAATAATCTTGTTATTTCATATCTTTTAGCAAATAATTTCCAATCAAAAATTGCAAATATTCAAGAATTCAAAAATTCAACGGATTGTATTCGTCTTTGAGCTTAATGCTTCGAGTTGAATTTTAAACTTTTCAGAGATATGTCTGTTCCAGATTGTACATTAACCAGAAAAGTTGTGATCTTTACCATGCAAATCTCAAATAGGTAATATTAATTAATTAATTTTTTTTATAAGTAGAAATAAAAGATCAGTATTGATAGTAATTTTAGTATACATCAGACATGTCAAACATGCGTCCCGCGGCCCACCGCTAATTTTTTTGTGGTCCACGGCTAACAATATCAATCGACAATATAAAAAATTAATGGTGAAAAAATTATAAAACATTAATGTCAAGTCGAGATTATCTTAAACCCTTAGAAATTGTTATGTTTGGTATACGTTATTATATCTTTTATTCTGACAAACTGTAATGGAGTAAGTTTTATTGATTTTTATATATATATAAATATAAAAATTTATATTAGTTAAATTTTTATATGTGGTCCACGTAGTATACTATTCAATATATTTGACCTACTTGATACTTTGAGTTTGACATGCCTGGTGTACATTAAGGTGAAAAATCTTATTTTTATTTAAGAAAATGTAATATGTGTTATAACTAGAGAACGGATTTATATGTATAAAAAAGGCTCAAAATATGTACCTGTAATTTTCTACAAAATATGTATTTATTTTTTTAATATGCGCTTAAATTTCAATCAAAAATATTTTAATTTAAATTATGTTAAAATTAATTACACGTATATGTATTCATAAATTAAATATTAAAATAATGAATACATATACATATACTTAATTAAATATTAAAATAAGGTATTTCGTCTTTACCATAAGTTTTTTATCTTTAAGTTTCCTTCTTTAATCTTCTTTAGTCTATAAAATATTAGCTCACATTAATAAAAAGTGAAAATGAAAATTGAATTCATATTTTACCTTATTGCACTGGATGATTAGAAGTTGCTTAAGATGTTCGTAAGTTAACTTCCTCCAATTATTCGCGAGTACATTTTAAAATACTGAAAAACTTCGCTCGACTTAAACAATATTTATGAGTGTGTACTTCATATATGTAATTCATTCGCATTTAAATCTTCGGCAGTTCTTTATTGACGTTTATTTTTTTTTCCAAATTCTTTGAAATTGTCTTCATTATTTTATAGCCAGGATTTTTTTTTCTAGTACCATTGTAAGTTTAGCATTTATAAATATTACTAATTTGGTTTTTTGATTTTTGCAATGTGGTTTTTACATTTTTGATCTTAATCATTGCTTCTGATAACAAGTAATTTTTAGATTTTAACATTTTTATTGTGTTGGAAATTATTTCAAAATTTGATATGATGTTAATTAAATTAGTTTTCAAATTTGGATCTTTTATCAAATCTTGAGATTTTTCAATTGAAATAGAATCTTCACTGTTCAATTGACGAATTATCTTTTTAATAATTTCGAATTTGTCACACTAATAAAAAGCTGCGTTTAGCCATGTAGTATCCCACTGTGCTATTATAGATTGTGGTGGAAGTGTAAGATTATGTGCCATATTGTGAAAAAGTATCATACGCGATTGAGCTTTTAAAAACACTTTTTCGTCGTTAGAAATGAATTCATCAACTTTAAGGAATTTATTCCTTATTTCTTCTGCAACCCTGTGTAATCCATGGGGCATGATTTAATTGATTAACCTGATTTAATCATACAGAGTCTCTTAAAAATAACAATACTTTATTGTGACGAATGCCAGTAGGCCATACAATTGTTATTGCCCAAACAAAAATTGAGCAATTGTACAATGGTTTGCTTTTTCCAAAATCTCAGAATGAAGTAAAAATATTTAACCGGGTCTTTTTTTCTAATGTGTGACACTCCATAGCGTCTCTCACAATCAGTGGTTTCGTCTATTGGAATCCAGATACTATGATTCCCAATAGAACTTCTTATATTGTTTATAATTTCTGAATAGCACTTTTCTACATCATTTTTGCGTATGGTCGACTCATCCGGTATGTGTCGTTCGGTATATTTTTCTAGAAAAATGTAAAGAGATGAATTTTGTAATTTAAATAAGGGAATATTTGCAAAATTAAAAGCCTGGCAGATATCTTCATTAAAGTTATCCACGTTCATATTATAAAATCAAAATGTATTTTGTATTTTTTAAATTTGATTCTTTGAGCCTTAAATTGTTCTTTTGTTTATCTCGTGATAAATGTTGTTCTACTAAAAAAATTACAGTCGCGTTGACTGAAATTTCACAAATAATACAAAACAAAATTAAACCATCGGTTTTAAAAATACCTTTATGTTCGTTTACTTATGCGATAGTGATGTCGTACGCGATCTACTAAAATTGTTTTCAAGTAGTGCGCGATCTACCCAAATCTACCAATAATAGTATTTAATTTCCGTTTTATTTTCATCTTTATTATTATTATTAGTTCTGAAAGGGATATACCAACATTATACAAGTATTATTTTTATAAAATACCTTATACTAAAAATGTTTTTTTCGTGTCTGAGTAAAAATTGTCAAATATTGTATCTATGAATGAATGAAGTGATCGCCACCGCTCTTCATTCAACTACTTTTCGAATAAAGGTGAAGCTCTGTTTACTTTTATACCTTATCTTTTCTTAACAATAAGCCAAAGATCCTCGATTGACTGAGTATGTGCTCCTGTACTTAGATCAAGAAAATTTAGACTATGATTTACTATTTTGTGTGTAAACCCGTGTTCATTTAATGTAGCGTATGCTTTTACTAGTCACTGTGAATTATCGTTTCCTGTTCAACTTCTCTTTGAATAATTGGTAAAAGTGTTTCTCTATCACGTTTTTGAACTAAGAAAAATCAGCGTTCCAGAAGGTCATTGTGGTGCCAACATAGACAAAATATCCACGGTCTCCACTTGTAAATGGTTTCTGATTGATGTTTTCATCTTAAGCATTTTTAAGTTACCTACGAAACAGAAACTGACACGATTTTACTTGTAATTTTACAAACAACGAATGCACGACACTGACTGATGATTGATTTCCGTCGATCACTTGAAATAGATTCATATGATAAAAATAATTTATATTAATCTATTAATCTATCTAATATTAATCTAAATATTAATGTATATTAATATAATTTATATATATATATATTTATGGGTGAATACCCATATAATATGGGTGTCTTATCTTTGGCCATAACGATCGCTCGTAATTTCATAGATATTTCGGTAAAGCACGATTGAGCATAAAACGATTGAGCATAGACCTTTTTAGCAACACGATTGAGCATAGAATATTTTATGCGACGTTGCCACATTCACGTTGCCAAAATTTTGTAATTTATTATTTTCTCGTATTATTACACCAATTATTATGATATCTGACGCGAGCCGTGAGCTTTATCGGCTTTATAAATTTTATCGACAATGTTATCGATTAATAAATTAGTTCCGGAGCAAAACGACGTTTTAAACATTTAGCATCGGGGGAAAATATAAGATAATTAAGATACAAATCCAAAATTATTATAGAAATAATATCAGTGTTCGATCACCTGTGTAGTGTATAGTGCGTGTATACTTAGTGCGTTTTTCTATTTTTTTAAAATATGGATATAACAATTATTTTATCGGAAAGAGGCAAAGAATTGGCCCTAGTTAATTTATACAAGTATAAATTAATTGGAGAGCGAAAAAAAAGACAATCTTTTGAGATGGAGGTGTACTAATAATAAATGTTCGGCAATAATGTTCTCGGGTTTCGATAAACGTAAAGTGATTGAAACTGCTGGACAACATAATCACGATAAAAATTCTATTGAGAAAATAGAAACGCAAGTTTTAAGAGAAAATTGCAAAAGAAAAGCTGAAGAATCAATTTACACACGGCCACTTAAAATTATTCGCACCGAACTTTTAAATTCTTCTCCAACATCAAATTTAAACAATCAAAATGTAAGAAATGTACGGAAAGCAATGTATGATAAACGGAAGCAGACCTATCCTAAATTACCAACTTCTTTGGATGAAACAATTCATCAATTAAGTGACTTAAAAAATGAAGAATGTTTTAAATATAAGGGTCAACAATTCATTTACATGCCGACTGATGATAATTTTGTATGTTTAACTACAGAACAAAATCTACAATTTATGACAAATAATTGTACTGAGTATTTTGGCGATGGCACATTTAATTATGCTCCAAAATATTTTATTCAATTGTACACAATACATGGATATAAAAATGGATACTACTTACCACTTGTTTACTTTTTTTTACCAAATAAAACTAGGTCTACTTATATTAAAATGTGGCAATTTTTAAATAATTTATGTTTGAAATTATGCGAAAAAAGTTTGCAAATTAACACATTTCATGTTGATTTTGAAATTGGAGCTCATCAGGCAATTACAGACGTGTTTGGAAATATTAAAATAATTGGATGTAGATTTCATTTAGGACAATCATGGTGGAAAAAAGTAAGAAACAGTTATATAATATAGTGCTTTTTTACTAAAATATAATAATTTGTTTGTAGATTGTTGGCGAACCTTCACTCAGAATAGCATACATGGACAACAGTAATGAACTAGGGAAATGGTTGAAAATGTTTTTTGGTTTGGCGTTTATTTCCCCAGAAGAAGTAGTTGATGCATTTCACGAGTTAATATCAATTTGTCCAAATGATGACGGTTTCATATTTTCTGATTACATTATACACAACTATATTGAAGATCACTGCCAGTTTCCTCCAAATATTTGGGCGGAAACTCCTTCGCTAAACCCAAGGTTTTTAACAATATTTTTTAAAACTTATTATAAAAACTTTTTTTACTAATTTGTATTGTTTTATTTAATTTTTTTTAGAACGACCAATGCAGCTGAAAGCTTTCATCGCACGTACAATTCACAGTTTTATTCACCTCACCCCCATGTTCATACAGTCGTTAGGGTATTGATCGAAACACAAGCGGAAACATCGACTAAGATCAATTCAATTCGACACAAGCCTGGAAAATTACAATCCGCAAAAGAAATAAAAAAAAATGAATTGAATATTCAAGCCTACAGCCAGTTTTTAAATCGTAAGAATACGGAATCTTTATTAATTTATTTAAGTCAAATTGGAAGCAGATACCAAGGTGTATCAATTTAATTTATTATTATCAAAAAATCTAGCTAGGTATATTATACTGTATTATAATATGAATGTGACAACTATTTATAAATATTTTGATTTTATTATTTTGATAAGTCATAAGTCATAACTATTATTATTATTTTATTATTAACAAAAATATCTATATACTGTGACAGCTATTTATACTACTATCATAAGTATTTTCATGCATATTAAATATTGACTATGAAAACATGATATTTTTTTGTCATGTTATATTTTGATTTATTATAATTATTTAAATAAATGTTTTTATACGATACAGTTCAAAATTGAAAATGGCAACGTTGCAGAGTTTTTTATGCTCAATCGTGTTGGTTTTCTTTTGTATTTCAATTTCCTTTGATACGCCGACAATTTATGCTCAATCGTGTCGCAAAAAAGGTGTTTTATGCTCAATCGTGTCGCAGCCAGATATTTTTATATGTGGCTGTAAACGTGAAAATATAAGATAAAACCAAATATGTGTGCTAAAATAGAAATATGCCCTCTATAACCATAAATATGCATTAAAATATGCAAAATAATGTAAAGACGTCGAAATATGCAAAATATGTAAAATAAAATTGTGTTATTGTTTTTGTTTTTATAAGAATGATATAAATAAGAATGAATAAATCGGAGACCATTCTCATCAGATTTCAGAAAGCTCATTCTAATACATACCTATATGCATTTACATATAAATCCGTTCCCTAGTTATAACCTATTAATCACATTTAAATATTTTAAGGTAAAACGAATAAGTAATTATATTAAAAATATAACAATCTTATGGTTATAACAGTAAGTTGTTTTTATTTAGTGTTAACCAAAAAACGTCATAGAAGGCTAATAATAATAATACAATTTCCACCACCGGATTTAGTACTGTCAATCGGATTACACAGTAGCTACAGGTCACAGCGATTAGGCAAACTTTGAAAAGAGTCGTGTATAACTGGTATATAAGTTTATAAGTATATAAGTATACAAATATATAAGTACTCAAGGAATCGATAAACCCCATCAATCAATGAATAAATAAATAAGTATTAATATATTGGGGATTGATTTAAAACTAAATGTTACTTCTATGAGTACTTACTTGTCAGATGTTAATCCAAATTATATAAGTGAAGTATTCAGAACTCAATGATTTTCAATGAGATTTTATTAAATTATATCTACTGTTATGAATTAGATTTACAAATATTTTTTTTATAAAACCAATTTAAGATAGATATTTGTTTTAAGTCTATGTTACAACAATATAATTAAAACGAAGTACAATTAGTTTTATTTATAACTTTTTTTTATTAATTTTATTGTATGATTTACTTGTTAAAATTAAATTGCTTGGTTCAATTAAAAAATACTTTTCATGTACCTATTTCATTATTTAATATTATTTAAGTTTGATATCGTGAGTTGAAGTACCTGTAAAACAAAAATTTAATCATGAAAATTTCTATTTGAATCAATATTTTTTTTGTACTTTTAGAAATATAATTTTCGGTGATTTTTATTAAATCAGGTTAATCCATAAAATTATTTCTAACATACATCCGCAAGGGTACTTTGGTCTAACTATAGTATTCGGGTATGACGAACCCGCGGACCCTAGTCAATCCAATGGAGTTAAATAGAATGGGTAAAGGTCAATTATTGGATTAATTTACATTTTCTCTACACTTTATAGATATACTAATCATTTGATAATAAAAATAAAAAAACTGAATACAATTGTAAAACTTATAATATATGATTTATTTATTTTTTATTGTTAATATTAGCTTCAATAGTATCATTAAACTATTAAATTTTATTGAGTTTTTTATATTGTTTTTATGTAGATACTTTATTTTTTTGGATCCTTTTGATAAGCAAAAAAAAAAAAAACCCATTTATTTTAAAGTCTTACTATATTGATAAATTTTTGAATATGTATTTCAATCTACAATATTTTCTTACATTTTTTTAGAGTTCATTGATTTTTATAACCATACTAATATAGTCAATGGACATATATATTTCAACGAGTATTCATTTTTTTAAAGCGAAAAATCACTATCAAGGTTATAATCAAAACAGTTGTTTACAAAATTAAAATCATGAGATAAAGCTAATTAATATGAAGCTCCATATATATATATATATATATATATATATATATATATATAGGTACTTAAACGTAGGATTGAACAGGAACTCAATTTTTAAATTTTTTTTATTTTAAGTTAAATTATTTTGTTTAATTTATTTAAATTATTTATATTACTTTAATTTTATATCTATTTATTTCTATCGTATTTTTTCAAAATTCTATTAAGATTTTTAAATCTTTGTACTTCATATTTGCGGTAAATTAGAATTAATATTCATTGAATTGTAAATTTTCAAATATTTCAAATATATTTATTTAAATTTTATCATCAAAAATATTTTTCATTTGAATACTATAGTTATAAAATTTATATTTTATGTTACAAAATTATAAAATATTTATTATATTTATTTCTTCATTTGGAAACACGTATGTTTTTGGTATGTATAATTACAGAAAATTTAAATAGCTTTGTTGATTATCAACATTTTAAAAATAATTTAGTTAATTTATCTGCTCTTTTTCAAAAATTAAAACTTTCTTCATTATAGTTTTATAAAACTTGTTAACTATATAATTATAATTATTTTTTCCAATTAGGATTAAATTTTTAATTAATTTCTTAATATTATAAAATTATTATCCAATGATCAATATTTTTTTAAAACTGTTGATTTTTTGACATTACAATTATTTAACCAACCTCACTTGTTCAAATACAAAACACAAAAATTACGAAGAAGTTTTGGGAAAAATTAAGATTTTTAAATTAAATAAAATATATACCGAGAATATTTAGTTATGCAAATAATCTTAAATTTTTTAATTTTGTTAGTATAATTAATTTATCAAATATAAGTAATTAAAATGTATGCAAAAATGTATATTTTAATACGATTTAAATCTATGATTTATCTTTCTAAAAATAATTTTTTAAGTATATCTTATGAATTCTATTATTCAATTATACTAAATAAAATATTTGTAAAATTAAATTGATATTATAAAAGTACCTCCTTCACTCTTAATATCCTCCCATTTCTCCTTTCAAATGATTGTTAAGTTACTTATCATACAACCAATATTAATCTTCTCATACTTATACTTCAATCCCATCTTGTCCTAATTTCTATTATCTCTTTCATATTTAGCGCTATATTTCATGTATATATTAATCCTTATTTATTAATTAATTAATCCTTATCCCTCCATATTTAGGAAAAGTGCGCTAAGTTAAATTAAGAAATTTAGAAATAGATTTTTTTTTGTTATAAAAATTATATTCTTTTTTTTGATTAAATACCTTATGTATTTCAGCAAAACCATAAATTATTTATCAAATTATAAAATATCGAAATTAATTAAAAAAAAAAAAATAAATACTTATCACTAATACCCTAGAAATATTGATAACAGTAATATGTACCAATTTTTTAATTCCAATTGATTTGAATATTTTAATATTAAGCTTTAAATAAATGCCACTTATACAATTCTATACTTACTTATGTGTTCATTTTAATTATTTCTTAAGTTATATATTATTATATATTATTATAAGTCTAATTATCTTAATTGATATTAATAATAAATTAAAAATTAATTTTTAAGAGATGACAACAAACATCCAAAGTTAGAGAGCATTAACGGATAAGAAATTAATAATTATTTAATTCATCGTTCAGTAAATAAATTAGAATATTTTATAATAATGATTGAATTATCATTATTTTAAATTTATTTTTATTAAAGTAAAAAATATTCATTGTATTTTTTAGATAAAATTATTTTAAAAGAATATTGTGAAAACGCAAAATTACATCACACTCACATACATATAACACAACGTCTATCTGAATTATTGTTAGTTTTAAATTGTTTAAACTATTTTTTATAAAATACATTTTTAATTATTTAAAATTCCTTACTTATTAACATATATGAAAGTGTTACTAAAGCTAGTTAACTTTTTGCCCTTGCAGATTAGTGAAACTTATATCCGTCGTGGGATGTCACAAGATATGCTACCATAAAAAGTGAGATGGAAACCGACAAAAGACCATATTATTATATTTTCTAAGCCAATATGTGTTTATTTAATTTATACTTTTTTGATTAAAACTTATTTCATGTTTTTTTTCACAGATTTATACTGGACACTTGGACAATCTTTTGACTACATAAGCTTTCTACCTTCTAATAATATTAAAATTAAATAAATTAAACTACTCATAGCTTTTAAATAATTAATTTTAATAACTTTTTTTCCATTTTATCTATAAATGTATCAAGATATTTAAGTAATTAACTAGCGTAACTAAATAAAAGTATTATTAAATCTGTTTAAATTAATAAAATTGTAGTATAAAGAGAATATTAAAATTGTTTTCCGAGAAGGCAGGAAACTAATTTTCAAGTTCATATCAATGAAAAATATTCTACTTATTACAATAAAGTTATTAAATCAGAGAGAATTTCTTAAACCTAATTGCAGATATTTTTATGTATTCACATTTATAAGTGAATAATGCGTTTATATTCACATTTGAAATTAATCTTGTTTTTCCATAACAAATATCACATCGGACAATATCATTAATGTAAACATTTTAATTTCTTAAAAATCGCTCATTTTTTTTAGACTCAAAAGCTTTGACTCTGAAAGTTCTTACAAATATTTTCTATTTTTGCCGACCACCAAGTCGTTCACTGACTAATGATTTGAAGACATAAAAGTATTGTCATCAGGTAATATGACATTTATTCCATTTTTATTTATATGACACTTATATTTTTGATTAATATAATATTAATGTAACATTATTTGTCTCCGATAATTTAACAATTTTGGATAATTTGTTTACTTAATTATCAAAAATACATCCCCGCAGGGGTACTTTGGTGTATTACCAAAGTATTCGGGTATGACGAACCCGCGGACCTCAGT